AATGCCACGGCACTCTACCCAGGGGGACAGCTTGAGGCTCTGTCTCAAAAAAAAAAAAAAAATCATTAACTATTAACTTTTGGCCAATCAACTCTATCTTTTAAAAAGTTACTATAATAAAAAAGAATCAACCACAAGCTGGGTACCGTGGCTCACACCTGTAATCCTAGTACTTTGGGAGGCTGAGTTGGGAGGATTGCTTGAAGCCAAGAGTTTAAGACCAGCCTAGGAAAAAGCAAAAGCAAGACTCCATCTCTACAAAGAATTAAAAAATTAACCTGGCATGGTATTGCATGCCTGTAGTCCCAGCTACTTGAAGGCTGAGGCAAGAGGATTGCTTGAGCCCGAGTTGGAGCTACAGTGGGCTATGATTATGTTGCTGCAACATAGCCTAGGTGACAGAGTGAGATCTGACTTCAAAGGAAAAAAAAGTCAGCTATGAAACTTTGGCAAAAACTCTATAATTCCCCTGCCCTTGGGTTGTCTGCTTTCTCCTCATCTCCCCTGATACAGAGTTGGGGGCCCTTCCCATCTCTGAGCATGTCGTACTGGGTGTCTCTGTGGCATCTCAGTGCCCCCAGGCTCTCCACACCCTCGCCCCTCCCATCACCTGGCAGATCTTCCTGTTCCTGGTGGTCATCGCCATGGCCTTGGCTGTGAGCTTCGGTTTCTCCTTCAAAGAATTCAGAGATAGGCACTACTACATGGCGACACCACAAAGGGGAAGCATAGCCCTCGAGTCCTTCTTCATCTTCTGGGGCTTCCTCATCCTGCTCAGCGTCATGATACCGATGGCCATGTTCGTCCTGTGAGTCCCTGGCAGCCTCTCCTGCAGGCATGCCTGTTCCTCAGATGGGGCAAGAGGAGGCCTATGATCAGCAGGCAGAGCTGGGGTATGACCCCAAGTGCATTTGCAGAGCTGAATTTATCTACCTGGGAAACAGCATCTTCATCAACTGGGACAAGCAGATGTACTATGAGCCACAGGATATCCCTGCCAAGGCCCGCAGCACCAGCCTCAACGACCATTTGGGCCAGGTGCAGTACATCTTCTCCGACAAGACAGGCACGCTCACACAGAATGTCATGACCTTCAAGAAGTGCTGCATAAGTGGCTGCATCTATGGTAGGGCCCCACTCTGCCCCCAACCCTGCCCCACCGTCAGGGTCCCCTTCTTCACCAGGGTCACCCAGGGGTCTGGGAACGTCCTGATGCCTGAGCTGGGAGCTGGTACTCAGGGGACCCTCAGTCTCTTTAAGTGGGGGCTGGGTGTCCAAGGGCAGAGAATGTGGGACCCCCATCCCCAAGTTGGTCTTGGAAAGCTGGGACCTGAAAGAGGGTTTTTCCCCAGGTCCAGACGCAGAGGAAAGGACCCTTAAGGTAAGCTCTGCCCTCCCTGCAGTGCCAGAAGACAGGAGGAATGGTGAGTGATCCACTCATAGCTGCCTGTGCCCCCACCACCCCCAGGAGAACCCCTACCTTTGGAATAAATATGCCGATGAGAAGTTTCTTTTCCACAACAAGAAACTGCTGTACATTGTACAAGCCAGAAAAGACAAGGTGGTGCAAGAGTTCTGGCGCGTGCTTGCCATCTGCCACACTGTGATGGTGCAGGAGAAAGACAGTGAGCGCTGTGGCTACCCCCACCTCTTCTTCTTCTCAGAGGTCCCTGGGTTTAGAGCTTTTTCACTGGGCTTAGAGGACACTCAGGCCCTTGTCCCAGGCCCCACCTTGAGGGTGTCCAGGCCAGGAGCCGAAACAAGGGATTGCTTAGTATTGGGATTGGAGGAAGCATGTGTCATCATCAGAGCTAAAGGATTTCCAGGGATTTCCAGGAGCCTGAGGAATCTGCTGTTGAGTGGGGAGGTCATCTAGACTGGGACTTAAATGCCCACCTCCCTCTATTTTGCTTAGAGATTGTGCAGGCCCTAGAGACCACTGTCCCATAAACATTTGTAAGCACCTGCCAGTTTCCTTCCCTGCACTGTGGAGTGGAGGTGGGCCCCATTATGAGACCCCAAAGGGCCTACATGTGGCCAGATCTCTGCAAATGTACGCCTCCTGTACCCCAATGGTCCCATTCCCCCACCAGACCAGCTGTTGTACCAGGCGGCTTCCCCAGATGAGGAGGCACTGGTTACGGCGGCCCGGAACTTTGGCTACGTGTTCGTGTCACGTACCCAGGACACCATCACGCTGATGGAGCTGGGGGAGGAGCAGGTCTATCAGGTTCTGGCCATGATGGACTTCAACAGCACGCGCAAGCGGATGTCAGTGCTGGGTGAGCCCTGGCTGCCCTTACCCTAAGTCCCAAGGTAAGGGTGGACAGAGGGGAGTATGTTGGACAGCTGTACTTTTCCTCCTATAGTCCGAAAACCTGAGGGCACCATCTACCTCTACACCAAGGGTGCTGACACTGTCATCTTGGATCGCTTGCACAAGAGAGATCTATCCGAGCTTGCCACAGAAGAGGCCTTGGCTGTGAGTCCCTTGGCAGTGAGGAGCATATATGGATAGGGATAGGGGCAGGGCTGTGGAGGGAGGAGAGTGTACAGAGAAATGGCTACAGGTACTTGGGGAAGCCATGTACAGTTGGGTAGGTTGTACATTGTACATTGCACCTTCTCCACCCCCCCAGCACAAACATACAAGAGGGCTAAACTCCAAAGTGTACCTGCCCAGAGAGGGTGTCTTTTTCTAATTTACCCAAGGACACACTGTGGTTGGGCTTTGGCCCTAGACTGGGTTTCAGGATCCATTTAGTCTTCTCTATTCTAAACCTTTTCTCTCTGTGGACGAAGCTCAAACTCTTTAGATCAATCTTCAAGGCTGTCTCTCTCTGTCTCCTGCTGGCCTCCCTAACTTGCCTCTCCTTGTCCCCCAGCGGACTTCCCAGTCCAATGTCTGCTTGCAATTTCCCCCATGCTCAAGTGATACATTGGGGCCTTTGCACATGCTCTTCCCTGTTTGGAATGCCTGTACAGAGCTTTGTCATTCAGAACCTTTTGGTTCTCAAGCCTCACCCACAAGGTACCCACCTTCAAGGGGCCTCTCTTGCCCTGTCCCCCTAACCTAGGTCTTGTCCCACCCCAGCTCTCTTTCTCTGGCCCAGCCCTGACTCTACAGGGCCACAGGGAACAGAGGCCCATGGACAGGGTAGGCAAAGAATGCCCTGCCCTGCCATGGTATGGGGGTAGCCAGGCATCCAGTCTTTGACCCAGAACCAGGGAAGTACAGTCAGAATAATGATCCAGCCCAGAAGCTCAGCAAGGTGGCTTGGATCAACCACCCCAAGGATTAGATGGGTAAACTGAGTCACAAGAAGAGTAAAGGCCTGTCAGGAGCTCCCAATGCTTAGGTTACCCTCTGTGGCATCCAAGCTCAACCTCTTGGGCCCACCCCCATCAAGAACAAAAGTAAGACCTCCTTGGGGCAGAAACTTTGGGGTGGGAGAGGGAAGAAAGGAACCTCATAAGTACTTTCCTTGGAGACCACCAAGCTCTCAGGCTACCCTTGGAGTGGGCCCCAACGGATCCTTCCTAGTCCCTTCTCCACCCCAGGGGCCTCAACCCTAGCCCAGCCCTTGAAAAATGAGGTAGAGTGGCTCACACCTCTATTCCCAGCACTCTGGGAGGCCAACGTAGGAGGCTTGCTTGAGATGGCCTGAGGAACATAGTGAAATGTCATCTCCACAAAAATTTTAAAAAGTATATGGGCATGGTGGCTCACACCTGTAGTATGAATTACTTGGGAGGCTGAGGTAAAAGGAATACTTAAGCCCAGGAATCCAAAGCTATAGTGAGCTATGATTGTGCCATTGCACTCGACCCTGGCTGACACAGGTAAAGAGTGAAGTGCAGAGATTCTACTAAGCAAGGGTCAGAGGGAGGGACCTGGGGCTGGGGGAGCTCTGCCTGGGGAGGGGTCCAATTGGGTGGGCTGCATAGAGGATAATGGGGAAATAGAGTTTGCCATGCAAATCATAGTGAGCCTGTTTCTGGCGGGAGAAAGGCTTATGCAAAAGTCTGGAAGCAAAAATGAGCTGAGCATGTCCAGGGGCTGAGATGAAGCATGTGTGGAGTTGGGGTCCCATGTTGGTTTTCTGAGCCCCCTCTGGCTGCTGTGGGGAGGTGGGACAGACAGCCTGTTGGTGAGCGGGGTGGGGGGGAAGTTGAGCATGGAAGGGTAGAAGGGACAGGTAGCAACAGGTTCTGCCTGGCTGGTCCTCAGGCCTTTGCAAAAGAGACCCTCCGGACGCTGTGCCTGGCCTATAAGGAGGTGGACAAGGACATTTATGAGGAGTGGCAGCGCCGGCACAAGGATGCCAGCATCTTGCTGCAGAACCGGGCAGAGGCCCTGCAAGAGCTATATGAGGAGCTGGAACAGGACCTCCAGGTGGGCAAACATGCTGGGGAGTGGGGGGAATGGCGGTTGGGACCTGGGAACCCCCAGCCCTGCCAGGGATCCAAGTTCCTGCTCAGTCTCTCCCCGGCCCTCCCCCACTGCCACTCACCCCCCCACCAGCTGCTGGGAGCCACAGCCATCGAGGACAAACTACAGGATGGCGTCCCTGATACCATCAAGTGTCTCAAGAAGGGGAACATCAAAATATGGGTGCTCACAGGGGACAAGCAAGGTGGGTCCCAGGGTGGCTCTGGGCAGCCGCTGGGTCACCAGTCAAGCCGTACTCCCCCAGTTCAGATCATATAACTTGTCCAAAGTCCAGCTGTTAACTAGTCTCATTTGTTTGGGTTAAGCATTCATTGCCCTCCATGCTGTCCTGGGGAAAAGGAGAAACAGGAGTGATTAAAAACATTGCAATGCTCAGGGTACCTCCCAGGGGCCAGGGGCCATGCAGAGTACCTGGTGAGAGTTTCACCCTTATAGCAACCCTGCAAAGTGAGCCCCTTATTACCCTGGTGTGACAAATGGGCTCAACAGGGCTCAGAAAGCGTGGGGCACCTGCCTAACATGGTCTAGTCACTTAAGGGCAAAGTGGGGATAGGAACTTAAGGTCCTGTGCCTTTGGAGCCCTAACTCTATTCTGCCATGGAATGGGAGTCCCCATTGAAATAGTCACAACTATTTAAATTTCATATGAACTTTATGACCCTGTATTAACAATGCCATTTTTCTGAATATGTAAGGGCAAATGTCCAGGCTGACTTAAATTTTTGCCTTCTGATTTTAAAAGAAAATTAAGTTATTTCCATAAGCCCTAGGCATGATATACCCAATGATCCTGGCCTCTCTGACATTCCTCAGCGGCCCAGCCCCAACCAGTGGAGAGGTAGCATCTCTTGCTTAAAACTACAGCCAAAATCTGAGGGCTGGCTCTTATTGGACAGCCCAGTTTACATACCCTTCTCTGAACCAATCACCATAGCCAAAGGGTGGGGCATGCTGCTGGGATTGGTAGGGCCATATAGGAAGTGAGCCTAGTTTGTTTGCAGAGACGGCAGTGAACATCAGCTTTGCCTGCAAGCTCCTGACAGAGAACATGCTCATTCTGGAAGAGAAGGAGATACTGTAAGAGATGGGGGGTAGGGGCCAGTGAGTGGGAGGGACAAGGATGTGGAGGCACCTGGGGATTAGCAGAACACCCTCTGCCATCACTTGGCTGGCCTCTGAGGGCCTCTCTGCCTCTACTCAGAGGTCACTTGACGTAAGGGAAACCTGAGGCACCTTGGGGGAGGGTAGAAAGAAGGCCGTGCCCTCTAGCCTTGCTGACCCTTGTGGGCACCCCCAGCCGGATCCTGGAGGACTACTCAGAGTGCAACAATAACCTGTTGACCAAGAACAGCTTTCTGAAGTCCCTGCCACAAATGAATTTGGCGATGGTCATCAATGGGGACTTCTTGGTTAGTTTCAGCTCAGGGTAGAGGAGGGGCTGGGAGAATTGAGTGACTAGAGGTGGAGTGTGGCCCAAAGGGCCCTGGGTTGGGAGGAGGACTGTTGGGAATACCAAGGCTGAAGGGCCTTGAATGACAATGTGGAGAGACTGGACTCAGAGGGGCTAGAGTGGGTGACAGACATGGTCAAGCCTGACCTGGGGAAGAGACAGGAGGCCAGCCTGAGGCGGGTGGTGATGGAGATGAGCTGTGAGAGTGACACAGCCCGTTCCCTGCTGGCTAGGACCAGGTGCTGCTGTCTTTGCGCAAAGAGCCCCGTGCCCTGATCCAGAACAAGAATGCAGATGAGTCTCAACAAAAATCTGGTGAAGGCATAAGGGATGTCCAACAGGCCAGGCAGATATCCATGCTGTGGAGGACCTTCGGAACCCAGTTGACTCAATCCAAGTTCAACAAATCAGAAACCCAAGAGAGCCCCGAGGTGTGTCGTGAGCGTGCCTTCGTGGACCTGGCCTCAAGATGCCAGGCTGTCATCTGCTGTCGGGTGACGCCCAAGCAAAAGGCCTTGATTGTGGCGCTGGTCAAGAAATATCAGCAAGTGGTGACCCTGGCCATCGGGGATGGTGCCAACGATGTCAATATGATCAAGAGTGGGTGGCAGGTGGTGTGGGTGGTGGGTAGCAGGTTTGGGGGAGGCTGGGGCAGCTCCCCGGGGTGGTCAGGAGCTGAGTGGCCATTTGTGTCTAAAAGCTGCAGACATCGGCGTGGGACTGGCAGGTCAGGAGGGCATGCAGGCGGCGAACAACAGTGACTATGTGCTGGCCCAGTTCTGCTTCCTGCAGCGGCTGTTGCTGGTGCATGGACGTTGGTCTTACATGCGGGTCTGCAAATTCCTGCGCTACTTCTTCTACAAGACGCTGGCCAGCATGATGGTTCAGATCTGGTTCTCTTTCTACAGTGGCTTCAGTGCCCAGGTGAGCTTGCCCAGCCACAGCTGCCCCACTGGGGAGAGCGGTTCTCTGGGGATGCAGTGTTCCTCCTGTAGCTGCCAGGAGTATCATGCATACTCAGAAGTTGGGGGTCCTCACTAGGTAGGGCTTGCTCCATGTGACACAGCACTACAGCCTTTGAGGAGGCCACATTCATGGAAGTATAAAGCCCAGATAAAAGGAGGTAATGGTTCCTGCCTAGCTCTTGGTGCAGCATTTTCAGGGATATTTGGCCAATGAGAGCTTTGAAGTAAGTTTGAGTGCTTCAAACATACCTCCTCAGGGGGACAGTAAGGAGAACAAGAACTGGCTTGGCGCCTATAACTCAAGCGGCTAAGGCGCCAGCCACATATACCAGAGCTGGTAGATTCGTATCCAGCCCAGGCCTGCCAAACAACAATGACAACTATAACCAAAAATAAAAAAAAGAAAAAGAAAGAGAGAGAGAAAGAGAGAACAAGAACTTGAACCCCAGAGAAGATAAAATTGTGGGAACTGGTTGCTTCTAGGTCCCTGACTTCAGGACTCTCCATGTTATCATGATAAAACCTAGATGTGCTCTCTGGTCCCTTAGCAGAGTTATAGGGCAGTGATTTTCTCTGCAGTATAAGGAAACTGTCTTGAATTAGGTGTCTTTGAGAGGGGATGAGCTCCCTATCACTAATACCCATGCTTGAGTGAAAGTTTCACAGAAGTACCCATAAGAAATACCTATTATTTTCTGTTTTACTTTTTAATTTCTAGGTATTTTACTCTTTTAAATGCTATTGTAAATGGAATAGTTTTCTGAATTTCTTTTGTATTGTTCATTGCCAGTGTATAGAAACACAGTCGAGACTGGGCATGGTGACTCACGCCTGTAATCCTATCACTCTGGGAGGGCAAAGTGGGTGAATTGCCTGAGCACAGGAGTTTGAGATCAGCCTGAGCAAGAGCAAGACCTGGTCTCTATTAAAAATAGAAAAATTAGCTGGGCATTGTGGTGGGTGCCTGTAGTCCCAGCTACTTGGTGGACTGAGGTAAGAGGATGGCTTGAGCCCAAGCATTTGAGGTTGTGGTGAGTTATAATGATGCCGTGGCATTCTACCCAGGGTGACAGAGTAAGTTTCTGTCTAAAACAAAAAGAAACACAGCTGATTTTTTCATGTGTTGATCTTGTACCTTGTGACTTGGCTGAATTCATTTTTGGCTCTACTATCTTTCCTGTGGGTCTTTTGGGATTTCCTACATACAGGATCACGTTATCTGAAAATAGAGGTTGTTTCACTTTTTCTTTTCCAGTTTGGATGCCCTTTATTTCTTGTTCTTGCCTTATTGCAGTGGCTAGTGCTTCCAGTATAGTGTTTGAATAGCAACAGTGAAAGGGGGCATCCTCATCTTGTTCTCAAAATTAAGGCAGAAAGCTTTCAATTTTTCTATACTTACTAATTGGAATTCTTTTTCTTTTCTTTTTTTGTGACAGAGTCTCACTATGTCTCCTTTGGTAGAGTGCCATGGTATCACAGCTCACAGCAACCTCAAACTCTTTATTTTATTTATTTATTTAATTATTTATTTATTTATTTTGTCGAGATAGAGTTCTACCTTATGCCCTGAGAAGAGTGCAATGGCATCGTAGCTCACTGCAACCTCAGATTTGGGTTGTGGGCATCCCGCTGCCTCAGCTTCTAAAGCTGCTGGGATTACAGGCACTCACCGTGGCGCCTGGCTGGGTTTTTCCATTATTTCCTATGAGTCGGGGTCTCACTCTCACTCAGACAAACCTCGAACTCCTGAGCTCAAGCAATCCTCCCGCCTCAGCATTCCACAGTGCTGGGATTACAGGCGTGAGCCACTGCACCTGGCTAAACTCTTTATTTTTATTTTTTATTTTAGAGACAGAGTCTCACTTTATCACCCTCAGTAGGCTGCTGTGGCATCACAGCCCACAGCAACCTCCAACTCCTGGGCTTAAGCGATTCTCTTGTCTCAGCCTCCCAAGTAGCTGGAACTCCAGGTGCCTGCCACAACGCCCAACTTTTCTTTCTTTTTTTTTTTTGCAGTTTTTGCTGGGGCTGAGTTTGAACCCACCACCTCTGGCATATGGGGACAGTGCCCTACTCCTTTGAGCCACAGGTGCCGCCCTCAGCTATTTTTGTTGTTGTTGTTGTTGCAATTTTGGCTGGGGCCAGGTTAGAACCCGCCACCCTTGGTATATGGGGCTGGCGCCCTACCCACTGAGTCACAGGCACTGCCCCAACCTCAAACTCTTGGACTTAAGCCTCCTAAGTAGTTAGGACTACAGGCACACACCACAATGCCCAGCTTTTTTGTTGCAGTTGTAATTGTTGTTTAGCTGGCCCAGGCAGGGTTCAAACCCACCAGCCTGGGTGTATGTGGCTGGCGCTGTAACCACTGTGCTACAGATGCCAAGCCAATTGGAATTTTTCTGCAGGAAGAACTGTTCCTTCTCCCCTCCATTCATTTATTTAATTATTTATTCATATCATTATTATTTATTCATATGGGCTTGTGGATATTGTATTTTCTATATTTCAAGTTATCTCAGCTTTGTCTTCTTGACATTTACCTGCTATTCTCTGAGCACAGCCTTACATTCTTGTGCCACAAGATGTCCCAGGCTCATTTTCCACTTCCCTTATCCCAGCCCTGGCATCAGCCATTTGCTTTAAGGAGCCCTGGTTCTCTTCACTGGAATGGTGTAATTAGACTCCAAGATCTGCATGTCTGGTGTGTTCATTGCTATAGGGATGCTGTTACCTCATCTAGGAAATATACACATATTAACACATGTGTAGACACACATATATTTCTGTTTCTACAGTCATGTATCATTTTGCAATAGGGATACATTCTAACGAATGCACTGGGAAACTTTCTGCAATTTAGGCAATTTCATTGTTATGCAAACATCAAAGAGCGGACTTACACAAGCCTGGATGGTGTAGCCTACTACACATGGAGGCTCCATGGTACAGCCTAGGCTACAAACATGTACAGCACATTACCTAGCTGAACACAGCAATTATAGCACAATGGTAAATATTTGTGTATCTAAACATAGAAAATGTTTCCTTGGCAGGTGGTTAGAAAAAATAAATAAGTAAAATAAACATAGAAAATGTTCAGTTAATTAAAAGAAAAAAGAAAATGTGCAGTAAAAATACAGTATTCTAGGTGGCGCCTGTGGCTCAAAGGAGTAGGGCCCCGGCCCCATATGCCGGAGGTGGTGGGTTCAAATCCAGCCCTGGCCAGAAACTGCAAAAATTAAATAATTAAATAATAAATAAAATACAGTATTCTAATCTTATGGGGCCACTGTCATATATATAATTTGTTGTTGATTGAAATGTCATTATATGGCTCAGCGCCTGTAGCTCAACAGCTAGGGTACCAGCCACATACACCAGGCTGGTGGGTATGAACCTGGCCCGGGCCTGCCAAACAACGACAATTACAACAACAACAAAACAGCTGGGCGTTGTGGCGGGCGCCTGTAGTCCTAACTACTTTGGAGGCTGAAGGAAGAGAATTGCTTAAGCCCAAGAGCTTGAGGTTGCTGTGAGCAGTGACACCATGGCACTCTACTGAGGGCAACATAGTGAGACTCTGTCTCAGAAAAAAAAAAATCTCATTATATGATGACTATATTCCTATGTATCCAGTCTATCATCTATATGTCTATATGGTCTATATGCATATCTATCTTTTTTTTTTAGAGACAGGTTCTTGTTTTGTCACCCAAGCTGGAGCTCAGTGACATCACATAGCACACTGCAGCCTCAGACTCGTGGACTCAATCGATCCTTCCACCTCAGCTTCCTGAAGTGCTGGGATTACAGTGCTGTACCAGCACACCCGGCCTGTCTATATAATCTATTATCTATCATCCATCTAACATGTATAGGTGTATATCTGTTATATATCTATCTGTGTGTTTATTAAAACCATGTGTTCACACCAATACCTCTGATTCTAATCCCATAGCACAGGGCTGAGTTTAGCCTTCACCATATTCTTACTCATTTGTAGCTGTTTTCTCCAAGAGTAGGGGACATGACCTTTGTTATCTACAATATCTTTACTTTTTTGCTCAATCCTAGAATAAACGTATACTGGTTTTGGCATTGAAGTACATATTTTTATTACTTCTTTTTCTTTTCTTTTATTTTGAGACAGAGTCTCACTCTGTTGCCCCAGGCTAGAGCACCATGGCTTTAGCCTAGCTCACAGCAACCTCAAACTCCTGATCTCAAGTGATCCTCCTACCTCGGCCTCCTAGAGTGCTAGAATTACAGGCATGAGCCAATGCACCTGACCAGAAGTAATTTTCTTTTTTTTTTTTCTTTGAGACATAGTTTCACTATGTTGCCCTCAGTGGAGTGCAGTGGCATCACAGCTCACAGCAACCTCAAACTTTGGGGCTTAAACGATTCTCCTTGTCTCAGCCTCCCAAGTAACTGGGACTGCAGGCACCTGCCACAACACCCAGCTATTTTTTGGTTGCAGTTGTCATTGCTGTTAAGCAGGCCAGGGCTGGGCTCGAACCCACCAGCCTTGGTGTATATGGCTGGTGCCCTACTCACTGACTGATGGGCACCAAGTCCAGAGGTAATTTTCTTTAAAAACTGGGCTGGGGCTTGGCACCTGTGGCTCAAGTGGCTAAGGCGCCAGCCACATACACCTAAGGTGGTGGGTTAGAATCCAGCCCGGGCCCGCCAAACAACAATGATGGCTGCAACCGAAAAAAAATAGCCAGGCGTTGTGGCGGGTGCCCGTGGTCCCAGCAACTTGGGAGACGGAGGCAGGAGACTTGCTTGAGCCCAGGAGTTGGAGGTTGCTGTGAGCTGTGATGTCACGGCCACTCTACCCAGGGAGACAGCCTGAGGCTCTGTCTCAAAAAAAAAAAAAAAAACTGGGCTGGATCTGTGCACTGTGAGAGGAGTTGAACTAGTCAGCCTTGGGTTTCTTCCAACTCTATTCTAAATAATGAAATAGGGCCAACTGTCATAACCAGAGGTTTAACACCAGCCTGAGCAAGAGTGAGACTCCTTTTCCATATAAAACAGAAAAATTAGCTGGATGTGGTGGCTCACACCTGTAGTCCCAGCTACTTGGGCTACTTGGTAGGCTGAGGCAGAAGGATCGCTTGAACCCAGGAGGTCCAGGCTGCAGTGAACCACCTTAGTGCCCAGTGCCACTGTACTCCACCCTGGGAGTCAAAGCAAAACACTGTTTTTGTTTTTTTGTTTTTTTTGAGACAGAGCTTCAAGCTTTCCCCTGGGTAGAGTGGCCATGGCATCACAGCTCACAGCAACCTCCAACTCCTCGGCTCAAGCGAGTCTCCTGCCTTAGCCTCCCAAGTAGCTAGGACCACAGGCGCCCACCACAATGCCCAGCTATTTTTTGGTGGCAGCCATCATTGTTGTTTTGGCGGGCCCGGGCTGGATTCGAACCTGCCACCTTAGGTGTATGTGGCTGGCGCCTTAGCCACTTGAGCTACAGGTGTCCAGCTACAAAACACTGTCTTTAAAAAAAAAAAAAGGAATAGAAGAAACACATTCTTTATAGCTGTTTTTCCTTTTGTAGCTCTTTCTTGAATGAAGTCACCCAATTAAAACAAAAACTCAGAGGTGCCATTTGAAAAGAATTAGACCATGCTTTTTTCTCTCTGCCTTTTATCTTCCAGCCTTTGTCAAGCATCACTTAAGCCAAGCCCAGTCTTAGTCCCAGCCGTGATTGTAAGGTGACTGTCTAACTCACCTGGGATCTTCCTCAGGTGCCCGGCCAGTATAGTGGGGGCTCTCTGGGCATCTGCAGGCTGACTCTGTTCCCTTCCTTCTCCCCGACTCAGCCCCTGTATGAAGGCTGGTTCCTGGCCCTGTTCAACCTCCTGTATAGCACCTTGCCAGTTCTCTACATCGGGCTCTTCGAGCAGGTGAGCAGGTGGAGGCCTAGCCTCCTTCTTCCAGGTTGGCCCTCCTATTTGTGCCCCAGCCAGCCTCTCCTCCCCCAGAGCCAAGGGCAGGGCTTGGGGGGAGGACAGTTCACACCTCTCCCCACCCACTACCATGTACCTGCTTCCACTAGAGCTCAGTCTGATCTTGGGGTCAGTAGAAGGAGGCCTCTTGCCAAGTTCCTTTCTGTGGGATGCCCCTCCTTCAGCCCCCAAGCCCCAGTGCCTCTGTCTATCCAACTGTGCAGTGGAGAGACAGCATCAGATAAGCAGTCCTGGGCCAGATGTGGTGACTCAAGTTTGTAACCTCAGCGCTTTGGGAGGCCAAGGTAGGAGGATCATATGAGGCCAGGACTTTGAGACCAGCCTGGGCAACATAGTGAGATCCCATCTCTAGAAAAAATAAAAATATTAGTTGGGCATGGTGACTTGAGCCTATATTCTTGGCTACTCAGGAGGCTGAGGTGGGAGAAATAGTTAAGCCCAGGAATTGGAGGCTGGAGTGAGCTGTGATGACACCACTACACTCCTGCCTGGGTAACAGACTGAAACAGTAACAGTCTCTACTCCCCTTCCCAGGAAAAGAAGAAATGGTCCTGCTAAGTTTGCTCCCCCTCCCAGCCCCGAGAAGCCCCAGCTAAGTGATCTGGAGTGTGAAGGGGGTTGGGGTCTTGTAGAATGTTCCAAAAGATGGACATATTCCACACATACACAGTCCAGTACAGAAGCCACCAGCCACATGTGGCCAGTAAGGAGACCTATGACCAAGGAACCAGCTTTTTATGTCATTTCCTGTTATCTAGAATTGTAAATGGTGGTGGAAGTTCAAATAGCACACCTGCCACCCTTTCAGCCATTCCCATGCATAATACAGTTGAATGGTGCCCACTGGTCTTCTGAACTCCCAGTTTGTTTTTATTTTAATTGACATGAATTCTGAGGACTCTCAGAGTCCAGACCTCTGTAGGGACCCTGCCTCCATCCTATGCCAAGATCCTGCCATCCATCCCTCCACACCCACCCCAGGATGTGAGTGACCAGCGGAGCCTGGAGATGCCTGAGCTATACATGGCAGGGCAGAAGGACAAGCTCTTCAATTACTGGGTCTTCTTCCAAGCCATCGCCCACGGCACAGTCACCTCCCTAGTCAACTTCTTCATGACCCTGTGGCTCAGCCAGGACACTGCAGGACCTGCCAGCTTCAGTGACCACCAGTCCTTCTCGGTGGTCGTGGCCCTGTCAGGGCTGCTGTCCGTCACCGTAGAGGTGGGCAGGGTCCTCGCCAATTGAGGTCTCCTCCCCAGGGCTCCTGGCTTTGGAGGCCTCAGTGGGTACCCTTCCTAGATCCCAGGGGCTTGGTGTCCTGGCCTCACTCCTGGCCCCAGGCTCCCCAGTGCCATAGCTAAGCCCCTCCCTCTCGGCCCAGGTCATCCTAATCATCAGGTACTGGACTGTGCTGTGCGTGTTGTCCATCCTCCTCAGCCTCATCTTCTACGGCCTCATAACTTGCAATACCCAGAGCACCTGGCTCTACAGGATCTCCCCGAAGACTTTCCCATTTCTGTGTGAGCCACCAGTGTCAGGGTGGGGATGAGGAGGTCCCCTGACATGGGTTTCCCTGCACTGAGGACAGGCAGCTGTGCAGGTTGCATGTTGATCACAAAATTCAGTGGTCACACAAAACATCCCCCAGGGGCAAGGGTTCCCTCCCCCCTCCCCCCTTTCTTTCTTTTTATTAAGTCATGGCTGTGTACATTAATGCAATTGTGGGGTACAATGTGCTGATTTTATATATAATTTGAAATATTTTCATCAAACTGGTTAACATAGCCTTCACGGCATTTTTTTAGTTATCGGGTTGAAGAGGTTCCTTTTTTGAAGCCAGCACAAAGGTGTCCTATGGTCTTGGGGTATCTGCTGGGGGCCTGAAGGGAAGGCGAGTTTCTGCTGTGACCCTGCTCCATCCCCAGATGTCGACAGAAATGTGCTGTCCTGCCCTTCCACCCTGCTTGTCATCCTGTTGAATGTGTCCCTGAACACCCTGCCCATCTTGGCCTTCCGAATCATTTACCAAGCTCTCAAGAAGCCCTGCCTTAAGGTGAGGTTTGGCTGGGGTCCCCCCACCCTGCACATTCCCAGGACCCCATAATGGGGAAGCCAGTGCTGGAAGTAGAGACTCTACGGTGCCTCTGCCTCTGCTGGCCCTTGGAGGCACTGGGCTGGGGAGGAAGGTGGGCATCAAGACCCAGGCACACCCAGTGCCCTTGGGGTGGGACCAGATGCCTCAAGGAAAGTAGCAGGGATTACTCAGAAGGCTGACATCATCAGATTTCTACCAGGAATGATCTAAGGCTTAGGGTTGAGGTGATAGAAACAACCTTGAAATGGTTTCGTCAAAGGGAGGGACTTAGAAATAACCAAAGAGTTCATTGAGAGATAAATGGATAAATGTGGTCCATCCAAACACTGGAATATCACTCAGCCATGAAAAGGAAGGGAGCTCTAGGCCGCAACATGGATGGACCTCAATGACATCATGTGAAGTAAGAGAAGACAGACACAAAATGACAGATATTTTATGATTCCACTTTTAGGAAGTCCCTAGAGCAGTCAAAATCATAGCAAAGGAAAATAGAATTGAGGTGCTGGGGAGGGAGTGGACAATTAGTACTTCATGGGGACAGAGTTTCAGGTTTTTGTTTTCTTTTCGAGACAGTCTTATCATGTCACCCTCGGTAGAGTGCTGTGGCATCACAGCTCAAAGTCTTGGGCTTAAGAGATTTTCTTGCCTCAGCCTCCCTAGTAGCTGGGACTACAAGTGCCTGATACAACACCCGGCTATTTTGTTGATGTTGTTGTTGTAATTGTCATTGTTGTTTAGCAGGCCCAGGCCAGGTTCGAACCCACCAGCCCCAATGTATGTGGCTGGTGCCCTAAACACTGAGCTATGTGCGCTGAGCCAGTGCTGCAGTTTTGGAGGATGAGAAAGTTCTAGAGATGGAGGGTGGTGATGGTTGCACAACAGTGTGAATGTGCTTAATGCCACCAAGCTGTAGTGTGTACTGAAAATGCTTTATTTATTTATTTATTTATTTTGAGACACATTCTCGCTATATTGCCCTTGGTAGAGCACCGTGATGTCACAGCTCACAGCTACCTCATATTCTTGGGCTTAAGTGATTCTCTTGCCTCAGCCTCCCAAGTAGCTAGGACTATAGGCACCTGCCACAATGCCCAACTATTTTTTGTTGTTGTAGTTGTCATTGTTTGGCAGGCCCAGGCCGGGTTTGAACCAGCCAGCCTTGGTATACGTGGCTGGCACCCTAACCACTGAGCTAGGAGCACTGAGAAGTGAAAAATGGTTTGGATGGTCAATTTTATGTTATGTATATTTTACTACAATAAATAAGGGGGAATTTACCAGCTCATATAAACCAAACATGGAAAAACAAGTTGCAACTGGGATAGGTCCCAGACTTGAGTGGAGGACCAGAACATGCCACACACCTGTCACCAGTTCCTGCCACCTTCTACGACACAGGCTGGACACATGGCTATCCCAGATTCACCTTTCCTGGGTTTGTGACCAGAAGGCACCCAAGGCACCTAATGGCTGGTACAGAGTTAGGTCTCAGGGAAAGACTTTGATTGGCTGGTCCAGAGGTAGGAGGGCAGGACTTAATTGGTGGGTCTAAAGTTAAATCCCAGAGCAAGACTGATTAGCTGATCCAGAGAGGACTCTAGCTCACCTTGGGTAGGAAATAAGTTGGCCAATCAATGGTAGCCTTGGGCTCTGCATTGGCCCCCACTGGAGGGCAGGTAATATAAAACCAGTCACCAAAGTGTGGGACCTTGGTGACCATACTCTCCCCCTCCTGCTTTACTTTTCAGGAGGAGGAGAAGGAGGAGGCCTCAACTGAGGAGATTACCACTGTGGAGCCCATACCTCGTTTACAGCGACAGACAAGAAGCCGTCGTTCCAGCTATGCCTTCTCCCACCGTGAGGGCTATGCAGACCTCATCACTCAGGGCACAATTCTTCGGAAGCCACCAGAGGTCAGCAGTGAGGTGATACCTGATTCCCCAGTGCCATCTGTTGAAGAGCTGCCTTTGAACTCAAAGAACGCATCCTGGCATTTCAGGAGGTTATCATTCTTAGGGAAGATGAAGCACCATCACCAGGGGAAGTTGTCCTCTGAGGACATGCATCAATCTTCCACAGTGAGCTCATCCTTCTCTGTGGACAGGCAATCCCCTCTTTCTTCAGAAAACCAATCTTCTTTTACCAAAAGGTTGCCTAGTAGCATAAACAGACCACCTGGGTCTCTCCAGAATTTTCAGGTGGCACAGGAGAGCCTCTCTGTCCCCAAGCAGAATCCATCTCTTTTTGAGAATCTGCTGGGCCCTCCTGAGAGCCAGCCACAACATTTGCCTTTAGGCCAGCCAGCTTTGGACAGCCAACAAAAATCCTCAAAGGAAATGCTATCATCTGGGAGGATTTCATTCAAGAAAAACCAGCCATATGTCTCACAAAAGCCACAAACCTCCAAGGAGGGGATAGTGTCACTTCCCAGCAAGACTCACATGTCAGTGGTAAAGAGTCTATCAAATACAGAAGAATCGTCTGTGGAAGAGCAGCCCATGGAAGTGGAGCCCTTTCCCACCGAGAGGCAGCCATCACCCATGGAGTGGCTGCCGGTGCCTATCAAGGAGCAGTTGTCACCTGATTTGGTGGAGGAGCTATCCCTGCCCCCAGAGGAGCAGTCATTGCCCTATAAATCTCAAGCAGCCAACAGGAGGCCTTCCTCCAATGACAAGGACACCACATCTTTGTCTAATAAACCAGGGTCCATCTGACCCGGGGCTTCTTTAGGCTCACTCTTCCTACACTTCTTTTTATGATGCCACATGGAATAGTCTTTCCAGGTTTTTAAAGTTAGAATGCTGACCTCTAGTGGCTCAATGGGGTATTTGCAGGGAAAGGTTTTTTCTTCACCCTGGGGTAATGTGGGTAAGCTTCATTGTTCTCAAAAGAGAGAAAGGTATAAGCAGATTCTGTTTAACAGTCCTGGCTCCTTCCACTGCCTGCCATCAGGCCCCTTTCTAAACAGTTTATAAACTCCAATTCTGGTGTCATCTAGCTTCTTCCACCAGGCTACACTGGTCTCTTCCCTTCAAAACTTCCTTTCACTTTAGAATCCAGAAAGCTGTGGACAGAGACTTCTTAGAAGTAGGTCCTGAGAAGGTCTGCATCTTGGGTCTTGGTTGACTCAAAGACACCAAGCTTTTTTATCTGATTCTTAACTGTTCCTTGTGAAAGGTAAAACAGTGTGTGGGTAGAGGCTCAGGGCAGGCCAGTGGCCAAGGAAGAGGGTAGGGTTCAGAGCTGAGAGAGGCAAGTGGGATGGAGGCAGAGTCCTTCTTCCCTTCCTCACCAGTCTTGTGATGGGCCCCATTCCTCCTCCTCCTACACCCGTCCCCAGTTGGCCAACACACATGCCCAGGTGAGTGACCAGAAAAAATTTATTGAAGAAAAAGAAAACAAACCCAGCACAGCAATGGTTAACAATGACTTGTTTTTTGAAAGCCTTTCCCCTGAGGGTGAGAGCAGAGAGGGCATTCTTCTTCCCCTCAAGCACTGGGGGACAGAGGACTTTGGATGACCCTAATTTCCAGTCTCTTGAAAACACCCAGGGCCACCTGGCCTCCCAGGCACACACCCCACCCGCCAAGCAGGCTGAGATAATCCCACCAAAAACAGCCTTAATGGGGAAGAGCATCTGATAGGTCCACAACCATGTCCCAGGAGGCTGATGGCATTGGTTTGGTTCAGATTTGTTGGCAAAGAATATGAAATGGCCCAAGTTCCAGCTGGTGCAGGGGCCTAGGTGCACCCTTCACCCTGTCTTCATTTCAGGTCTCTTGAACCCCCAGCCCCAGGCAGACTAAGGCCTTCTGTCTCATGGGGTATAAAGCACCTCCTTTGGCTACCACAACCCCCATTTCCTCAGGGGCTGTCCTAGAATGTGAGCCCTCCAATCTCTCCTCCACAGGCTCACCCCTGCAGCCCTTGGCCTCTTGGGAAGAAATCATAAGGAACCCCAAGCCAACTTGTCCTCTTCCTTTTCCACATCCAGGGACTGTTTGGAGGTGGCTTGAAAACTGGGCCTCATGGCAAAAGTAGAGTCATGGGCAGAGAGACATTGTCCCAAAGTCCACTTTCCTGATTTGGTGGGGAGGGACTTTATCCTCTAGGATCCCATAGTGAGCTGGGAGGGAGAGTCTCTACAGGTGTACACCCCACAACCTCCCGGGCCAAACAGAAAGGTGAACACACACCCAGCCCTGGACCCAGGAGGCTGAGGGTGTCTAGGCGAGGGTGATAGGGCTTTAGGAAGTTGGGGCACACCCAGCCTCTACCCTGGGCAATAAGTCTTGAATTATCTGATTGTCTGCCTCCTCTGATCAAGACACTTGGGGATTCATGCTGATGAGAAACCAACCAGATGACAGAGTGAGGGGTGCAGATGGTGATGACACTCCAGTAGACCCAAGAACAAGGAATGGGGAGGCTACTGGTCTCTGCCCCACCGTGGAAGGCAGGCAGCATCTGGGGGCTGATGGATGGAACAAACCCAGGTGCCCAGGTCTTGCCTCTGGCCTCCTTCTTCCTGTCTACCTGGGGCCCAGCCCACCTGCCACCAGCTGGACACAGTTCCTTAGAAAGCAGGAAGGAAACAGCAACACAAAGAACCATGGAACATCACCACCTTGGGCATGAGACACAATGATGCAACATGGAATCCTAGGGCCACCACCCACTGGGCCCCACCCCCACCCCCCACCCCAGCCACTTGTTACATTAGTGTCAGGAAAGAGTACATTAGTCATGCATCAAATCAAATTCCATTGTGTCTTTTTTTTTCATTTTTCTTCCTTTTTTTTTCTTAAATTACATTTGAACACAGAACACATAGAATAATAAATACTCTTATAAGACATGACTCCAACAAACGAGAAAACTGAGCAAGCCAGAGAACAGAAAGGTATACCTCTGTCTCTCTCTCCTTCTCTCCTTCCTAAAGGACTTGTTTAAATAAGAAATCTGTAAACGCCACCAGTCCTCCCTCTCAAGTCTCTCTCATGATCATCTCCCTCTAACTCTGCTTGTGACCACCAGCTTTCAGCTTCCAGCGCCCTGACATTCAATATGTCTCTCCCATGGGACTCGTCAAAGACATGACATGCCATCATCTGCAAAATTATAATTTAACGGTATAAAGCTTCAAGTCACGTATTCCAAAAACTAGCTAAGGATTTTTTTTAATCACATAAACTATACATTAAATATTTTGAGGTATTTCAGAGAAAATTGTCAAAGGCTCAAAGGAATTGTGCTGGAGGTATTGTTCCCCGTATGGAGAATGCTCTTTGGTATGTGACAACCGACTGGGTAAGGGGGAGGCAGGGATTGGGTAGGGGGCAGATTGGAATGACAGCCCCCTTAGGGAGACGGACCAAGTTTGGGGGAGGGGAGGGTAAGGGAGCTGGTGTGTGTGTGTGTGTGTATGTGTGTGTGAATGTGTGTGATACAGTGTCTGAACAGGATCCAGGAGTCCTAGGCTGCTTCTCTGACAGTGGAGCTTCATCTGGTACGACCACAGTTCATACCTAGAATGTTTCACAACCAAAAGGATCTGGAGGTGATGCTTTTCCAGCAGGGGACAGAACAGGAGGCTCCTCCCACTTAACCGTTCAGCCTTCAAGGCCAGACCAGTGAAAGACTGGCCCAGCAGAGGGCGCCTGGCAAATCCCCATCCCACACTGGCCACTGCCAGGTGGCCAGAGACCCCAGCATGGATTTCCTAAGAAGGTCATGGGACCAGGGCCACAGTGGACCCTCCTGACCCCAAAACTCTTCATTGCCTTAAAGGGGAGTGTCTCTTCCCTCATTAAGTTCATATATACACAAATATATGAATATGTTATACAAAACATTTTCTACAACCTGAAAGTTCAATTTTGCCCTTCTAGTTTTAAAAGAAAAATGTTTTCATGGTCCTGGGCCTGCTGGGCTCCCATATATTCAGTGAGCAGGACAGCTCCAGATCCATGTCAGGAGCTTGGGGGTGAGGATGGAGGAAGACCAGGAGCTTGGGTTTGAGGTGGAGGTGGGGCCTCCCAGAATCCAACTCCTAGGGACAGCAAAAAAAAGGAACAGGATCCAGTGTAGATGTGTGGGTCTTGTGTGTGTGTGTGTGTGTGTGTGTGTGTGTGTGTGTAAATCTTCTGTGTGTCCATATCTTCATGTATTGGGGAGAGGGGTTCATTGCTGAGTGGGAATAGGGACTCTTTATGTTTAAGATTCTGCCCCAACACCCAAAGGTTCTAGAAGCATCACTCAGATCCAGTTGCTTAAAAAGCTGGGAGAATAGCGAGTCGATAAGGACAAGAGAACACTCCATACACATCTTTGGTTCAAGAAGAAGGCACTCATCGACCTCACTATCCTCTCTCTCCCTCTCCTTCTCTCTCTCTCTCTCTCTCTCTCACCCTCTCCCTCTCTCTCCTTCTCTCATTCTCTCTGGTAGGGGAAGGGGCAGCCCCTAGTAGGCAGGGCCCAAAGCCGGTCTGTGCTCAACTGGTCCAGGGAACAGTAGCAACCAGCACTAGTCCTTGGGGGAAATCTTTGGTATCAGATGTGATTTTTCCAATCACAAACATGAACGTTTGAGTGAGGTAGCCTTTACCTGGGGGAGGGGAAGGGGCATTTCACTAGAAATGTCTTTTGCATTCTCAAGGGGAGAGGAGGGGTGGACCCCTCCCTGGGAGGCAGCAGATGAGTAGGGTCCAGGCTTTGGAAAGGATGGGGTTTCCTTCCAGCCTCTGATCTTGAACCCCAGGGAGGCTGGCACTTGAGATCCAGCCATCTGCCAGTCTTGAAGGTCACCCAGACGAGATAAGAAGAGCCTAGCAGGGCAGAGCGGGGTAGGGAGCTCATCCTCACCCTTCCCCCTTCTCATTTTCTTTTTGGCAAAATAATAGACACAGCACATTCCATCTTCTTCAGCATCTTCTTTCTCCAGTCAGGAAGAGATGTCAAGGTTCACCCCCACTGCCCCCTCTAGGTCCAGGTCAGCACCCCCAAGAGGGGGGGATCGATGAGCTTCAGGGAGTTTCAAGCACCTCTGCATCCCCAGGGCCTCAGGCATGGTGGGCCATGTGCCTCCTGGGGTCCTCATCTCCTCTTGGTGGAATCTGGACATAGTCTTCAGTCTCCTGGGTTGCCTCTTTCCCTGTGTGGCGTTGAACAAGGTGCCTGAAGGTAAAGTGAACTAGAGAGGGGTGCTGAGGGGGGAGAAGCGTCTGGAAGTTACCCGCATGAGGGAGCCTGCTGTTCCCTCTGGCCTGGGGCGGGCTGGGAGGGTGCTTCTCCGTGGGTGCTGGGGCCGCCGCAGGCCTCCTCCCCAGGCTTTAAGGCAGGCGATTCTTGGCACGAGGAACCCTGGCTGCCCCCCCAGGAGCAGCTCAGTTCTTGGCGGTGGGGGCCGTCCTGCCAGCGGGCGGGTGGGTTTGGGTGTGGGGCACGGTGAGGATCGAGTCTGAGTGGGTTTTGGTGACTCTGGAAGGGGCTCTGGGAAAGGGGCAGAGGGTGTACTGCGGGGGTACCTCCTCCCCAGAGGGAAGGAAGGGAAGGAAGGAAAGAAGGGCTGGTTGGCTTTTCCTGCCTCCCTTTTTGGGGGTGGAGGCGTCTGGTAAAGGGCAGGTTAGTTATTCATAAAATTCCTTTTTTTAAAATACCCGGTTTATACTTCTAGTATGTGCTTCTTGGCCCACTTTAGCGGACCACACAGTGAGCCCTGGTTTTCTCGAGGCCCCCTGGCATCCTGATCTGAGAGGTGGCTGGGGGACCTCTTCTGTCTCCCCTGCTCCCCTTGGGGGCAGAGGCTTCCTTTGGCCTGGAGGGGGTTGGAATGGAGGAAGGAGGGGGCCCCTTCTTGTGCACTTGGGCTGAGAAGTGTGCTGCACCCCCCCAGGTGTGGGGGGGCCTGGACAGCACTCCGCCTGCCTGTGCCACCCCGGGGGCAGGTTTCTGGGCGGGCGGGATGGGGCTGGAGAAGTGGGAACAGAGAGCGCAGGCCAGGCCGTCAAGGGGGGTGGTAGGGTGGGGGGACGCGGTCGGGGGGCCAGGCACGCCTCAGGCCTTGGAGAAGGTGGCAGCGGCGCTGGCCGGGCCCCCCGGGGCTGTGCCAGGCTCCTCCGCCCAGCGGTTCATGCAGCGGCGCCGCGCGTTCATGAAGAAATTGCTGACGGTGTTGAGCTCCAGGCCCAGCTGCTGCGAGATGGTGACTTGCATCTCTTTGGACGGCCGTTTGTTCTCCTTGAAGATGGCGATGAGCGTGCGCCGCTGCAAGTCGGTGAACACCAGGCGCTGCTTCTTGGGCTGCAGCGCGCGCTCCTTCTGCTGCTCCTGCTCCTTGCGCTTGCAGGCTGTGGGTGAGCAGCGGCCGCGGACCGGGAGGCGAGCCGGACACAGCACCACCACGCGGGAGTCCCGGACAGGCGAGCAGCGCGCGTCAGGAGGCCGGGAAGAGGGGATACAGATCACACGAGGAGAAAGCACGCAGCACCAAGCAGAGCAGGGGTGGGGTGGGGGACCCGAGTAAGGACAAAGACGCAGGGAAAAACGGAGAAAGGAGGAAGGCACAAGGGAGAGACCAGCGTAACAGAAAGAGGCAGTGACAAAGACACACAGGGCAGAAGGAAGGGACAGGGAAACAGCAAGGAAGAGCAACATCCAGAAATGGAAGGTGAGGGACGGCAGTCAGGCAGACACGGAGGCAGGTGAGGGGGAACAGAGGAGAGGACACAGTGAGCACATATCGCAGGCATGGACACTGCACCCTCCAGTCCCTTTTCTATGGTGCTTGTCCCAAGCAACTCCTCCCCAGCCCGGTATCCCCAAACCTCTCGTCCTGCCTCCTCCCCAAGACTCTTCATCCACAGGGCAACAAGAACTGGTGTTGGTCACTTTTTCCCCTTCTTTCTGCAACTCCAAACTGGGGAAGTTGAGGAAATGACATAGAACCTCTACTGGTGAGTTATTTCTGGCTCAGTGTAGCCTTGGGTGAAAGAAATGGTTAATTAATAGGTGCTGGGGTGCATCACAAGCCCCAGCAAACCCCTCCTGCAACCGTGGGGTAGTTCCGGGTTGCTGCTTCTACTCCCCTAGACTCTCTCTGCAAGGCCTGACCCTGTCTCAGGCTGACTTTGGAGTCTGAGTCTCCACCCCCATCACAGTTTGAGACCCACTAGCTTGGCCTCCCTCAAGCACCCAGGGGACCCTCTAGAATTGAGAGAACCCAAGGAAGGAGACTTTGGAGGAAGAGGCTAAGGTGTAGGGACCAACTCTCTCTCTCCTAGGGGAGCAGGTTGCCTTTCCTCTTACGCCATCTGGCATGGAGCAGGCCTGAGATGCTTGCAAAGGGAAAAAACAGTAACAGCGGAGGGCAGTGCAGCAGGGCGGCACCTGAGTTGTTATTTGCCTTGCTCCTGCTGCAAAGCAGACACTTCCCCTCAATGCAGTAAAGGTGAGGGGGTGGGCAATAGTGGGTACAAAAGTGGGCTGTCCCCACCCAGGGGTGGGCCACCAGCAGATGGGCTAATTGGTGGCATCAGCTCTAAGGAAAGGGACTGGAATCCAGTCTGGGGATTCCAGACCAGAATCCCACACCAGCCTGGGGCTGTGGGTGGTGGACAGCCTGCCCCACTCTGCCTCCCTCTGGGCCCCAGAAATGACCAGTGGTACATGCTGTACTAGCAAGTGTCTCTGCTCCCTGTTCCTCCTCTGTGCCAGCCCTGTGGCCTACTGGGACGGCACAGCAAGCTTGCTTTTTTTGGTTTCAGAACAGCCAGAACAGCTGACGTGTTAGATCGATGTCCATGTCCATACATACACGTCCACAAAAATAAATAAATGTTCCCTGTGTGGTGACTCATGTTTCAGGTACAACAGGTTCACCCATCTAGTGTGTGAGCTGACACACACTTCACTTCCTCTGACCTGGGTTGGGCAGTGAGAGCTTCTAACTGTTATTTGTTTCAGGTTTTAGGATTAAATGTGAGTGATGGCTGCAGCTACTGGACATTTTAGAAAATCATCTAACATAAAAGAGGGAGAGAAGGAGAGAGGAGGAGAAAGAACAACCAAGAAAAATGGTTGCAGGTAGGGATAAACACCAGAGAAACTGACAAAGCAGGCTATAACTGTAATTATAATTAAGCTATAATTAATTTTCCTAGAGGGGTAAGAGGAAACTATTGTATCCATGAAACAAGTACATGACGCTGTGAACTAAAAGCTAATGAGAAAATGGGCTTGGCGCCTGTGGCTCAAGTGGCTAAGGCGCCAGCCACATACACCTAAGGTGGCGGGTTCGAATCCAGCCCGGGCCCTCCAAACAACAATGATGGCTGCAACCAAAAAATAGCCGGGCGTTGTGGTGGGCGCCTGTGGTCCCAGCTACTTGGTGGTCCCAGCTACTTGGGAGGCTGAGGCAGGAGACTCGCTTGAGCCCAGGAGTTAGAGGTTGCTGTGAGCTATGATGTCATGGCACTCTACCCAGGGGGATAGCTTGAGGCTCTGTCTCAAAAAAAAAAGTGAGAAAATATTCTTACAATTTAAATACAGGATAATAGCTGGAATAAGAAGTATTCAAGATAAGGATTGGAAGATAAAGTTAAGCAAATATCTCAGAAAATAGACCAGGATAGATGCAGAGGTAGAAAATGGGAAAAAGACAATAATGCAGTTAGAGGATGAATTAAAATGAAAGAGTTTTGTCACCTGATCAAAAGTCAATTCGAAAGTAGAGGAAGAAATGATCAAATAAAGAATGAAAAAATCTAGAGGTAAAGGACAGGAACTTCAAGATTAACGGAAGCCATGAATTCCTCAGCTCAACGCATGAAAGAGACATATTTGAGGCCCCTTTTTGTGAAATTTCAGGGCACCAGGAATAAAGGGAAAATCCTAAAAAGCTTCCAGAGATGAACAGTCACATGAAATCAGAGAAGCTATGCTTTTCTCAAAAACAAGGAGATAGTGGAGCAAAGTTTCCAAATTCTGAAGAAAAATTACATGCAGACAGAATTGCCAAATATCCAAACATCAAGCATGGAAATGCAATAAAAATATAGTCAAATATCCAAGGACTCCAGAAGATGACTTTCTGTATACCTTTTCTCAGAAAGCTACTAGAGGATGTGTTCCATCCAAATGAGGAGGTATATTTGAAAAGGGAGTTACGGAATTCAGGAAATGGTATCCAACCTAGGAGAAAGAGAAAAGGGGAGGAGAGACCCTAGAAGATAGCTAGACCAAAGTACTTGGGACAGGAGGACAATCTCACCTAGATTTCCTATGTGTGGAAAATCCTATTGAGTTGGTTTTGCATTTTGTTGGAGGGTATGGGAAGATTTTATGTTTGGCAACTATTAACTCCTAGAAAATCAAACGGTTGTACAAGAAAGGAAATGTAATCCTAATGCTCTATATGGCTCAACTGTGGATGTTCTTCACTGAAAAAACATAACAATGTTAATTACTGAATATTGATTTAAGCAAAAGACTATATTTGCAACTACTTACGTTGAAAAGCTGACAGAGGAGGTGGGTGTAGGTACAGATGTATAAAGATGGCAAGGCAAAACCTAGAAGGTGGTGAACCAGATAGCCTTTTTTATATGAAAGGGGAGGGAAGAACATATGTTTATATTTTATCTGCATAAAGAAACATTTTAAGGAAACACAAGAAACTGCATAGACTTCTCCTCTCTTTGGGACTTGGACACCCTGTGAGTGTCACAGGGTCACAGGAGGGGATTACCTCATCTCTTGTAATCTTCGGTTCATTCACTCATTTATTCATTCATTTAACAATTTCATCCTATCTTTACAGTAGGAGCAGAAACATAAATGCTCCTCAGAAACTCACAAGATCATTGTATTGGCTCTGCGCCTGTGGCTCAAGCGGCTAAGGTGCCAGCCACATACACCTAAGCTGGTGGGTTCGAATCCCCAGCCCGGGCCTGCCAAACAACAATGATGGCTGCAACCAAAAAATGGCCAGGTGTTGTGGCGGGCGCCTGTAGTCCCAGCTACTTGGGAGGCTGAGGCAGGAGACTTGCTTGAGCCCAGGAGTTGGAGGTTGCTGTGAGCTTGATGCCATGGCACTCTACCCAGGGGGATAGCTTGAGGCTCTGTCTCAAAAAAAAAAAAAAAAAGATCATTGTATCAAAAGCTTTACATGTGTCCTGCTGTTCAGTCCTTACAGTGATTCCATAAGGCCTGGATTTTTCTCTATTTACTCAGAGAGGGAAAACCATCTGCCCAAGGCTGCCAAGCAAGTCCTGCCAAGGACAAGACAGGAACCAAAGTTGCTTGGGTCTGATGGGAGAAGGAGGTGAGATGTAGGTCGCCTCCCCCCAAGTCCTACCCCATGTCCCCATCCCTAATCAAGTGCCTAATGGGGGCCCAGAGGCAGAGGCTGGGAGAGGACTGGAGTGAAGCAGTGAAAAAACTTCAGGTTTTGTCGATTACAGCAAAAAGAGGCTTGGTTCACCCCCTCCCTGGTTCAATCTAATTACAGCTTCTCGAAGCCCATCGATCCAGGCTCTAGTCCGAGCTATTTACTGAGAGCGCTTTGTCATCGCCCCATCCCCCATGGTGGGGGTGGGAATGGGCATGGGGGGGGGGATGTCGCCCGATGCCCCCCCCAGCATGCCTCTAGTCACTGTAGCCACTTCACTCACTTTAGCCTAAAGGCCACCCCTTGATCTGCCCCACAGGTGGCGGTTATCTCCCTCTTTTACGAAGGAGAGGCTAGAGACAGACTAGACCTGAAAAGCCCAATGACTGACCAACTAGCAGCAGCCACATGCTGTGGACCCACCATGGCCACCTGTTTTAAGGAGACCTCTGCTGGCCTCCAGTCACATCTCCCCAGTTACATCTTCCACCTCTCAGCACTTCCTCTGTTTTCTATGCCCCCTATCTCTTCCACTATTCTCATCTAGGACACCCAATCCCAACGGTGGGGATGAGGATGCCCCCAGACCTGGATTATCACCACCAGGCAGGAGGTCTCACAGCTAGCTCTGAGAGCCTGGGTGAGTCACTTCCTGGTGAGCCTCAGTCCCTCTTTGGTAAGGACCATTCATCTCCTTCAAGCATTCCTAAGTGCAGGCCACCCTTTTCCCCCTCCCACCTTCCCCTGTCCAAGAACCTCCCAGTCCTCATCTCCCACCCTGCCCACACACACCCCTGCCCCACTGGCCTCATCCCAGCACAGTCTGGCCTCTGAGATTTTGCACTGGCTGTACCTTCTATGGGTTGCTTTTCCCCAAGTTCTCCCAGGGCTCCCTCACCTTCTAATCTCTGCTCAAGTATCTTCTTCCCCTTGAAGCAACCCTGAACCACCTCCCACAGT